TACTTCAGAAAGAGTTCTAAGCCTTTTGAGAACATGGAAGCCAAAATCAAGCCTGAAAAACACCACAGACTCACTTTAAAATACTCTATTTTTCTCCTGAGATTTCTACTGTTGCTTTCCATAGCTTGTCAAGCAACCCCCCTTCAGATTTAGCAAAGTATCTGCAGTCCTCATTCATCACAAGTCTCAGCACTGAAGCGCTCCAGCTGCTCTAGGGCTATACCCTTAAATGTGATCTTGCTGTGATGTTATACTTGCCTGGTGTTATGACCTTGGCTATTTTTGACAAAGAGATAAAAATGAAATAAGCTCTTGCTCTTAATGACAGTTGGTACAAAACATCCTTTCCAAAGAAAACTATGTTATCCATATGTGTACATTACTGATCAGCCTATGCCAGACAGCAATATTATAATCTCTCTCGCCCAGGTAACATAGCATGAGGAAAGATGGTTTGGCATTATTATGCCAACGTCTCTTTAATTACACTTTGGGCAAGTACTAAATTTTCTCCTGAAACTAATAACAAAGCAAACATTTTCAAAACTACTTTATTTTTTCATTACAACCTCTGTGTTTGTTTACTTCGAAATTTCTCAAACTGGCACACACAATTTTGGAAGGTTCTTACTTTTAATTCAGGGCTCTTGCTCTGAACTTTCTTTTTCCTACCTGTTGTCCACTGTTTTGTGAATCCCCTTCTAACCACAAAAATTTCTGTTAACTTCCCCGCAGTGAAAAATGCTCATGAGAGTAAAAATGGTCTTCAGTAATATTGTCTATGAGTTTTAGCATTTTGAAAGAAAGACCACCTTATTCCTTATAGGCCTGATGAATTCAATGACAGGCTTGTTTAGATTTCACTGAGGTCTTTTTAGCTGTTTCTTCAAAACTGACTCAGCAACATCCTTAAACACCTGCTTAACTTAAAGCAGATGAAAAGTCTTACTGATGTGTCAAGTTAAGGTATGCTTAAGTGCTTTGCTGGATTGGGGCCTAACGGCTTGCAAATACAGGTGGCTATTACCAAGAGCCAGAAGAGGCCAGGTAACCACCAACAATCAATTATATTCCTACCAGAACTTCAAGCCAGTATATCCTACTGTTTGAAGTTAATTGCTTTGAAATAATTGGACAGGTGAGCAGGTAAGTTCACACAGAGCATTTGCAATTTTCCTTTGTGTTTAAAAGAACAACAGTGCAGATTACGTGGACAAAACAGGCATGATTTTAGTAAAACAAGTTAAAAGGGAAGGGAAAAGACCTTTCCTTTTAATTTTTAGCATCATTAAAACCTTGAAAACATTTTATTCAAGAGCTTCTTCAGTTAATACCTCATTACTCATTTTTTTATTGTTATGGTAATCAAGCCTTAATATATTGCAGTTTTATAGCATGAAATCAAGGCTAGGCCTGAGGGCATCGACAGATGTACAACAGCATGCAGTAAAACACAGGTATAGAGGCATGCAGAGCTGAATATGGCACAGGGTTTTTTTATAATTGTTTAGCAATTAATCTGAAGTTATTTTAACCTTGACAACAGATGAACTCTAACACATACCATGATTAGTCACTGGGAAGCTGCACCGAATAGCAAGTTTTGTGATTGTTGTCTTACAGGCTGAATTTTAGGAAAGCGTGAAACAAAGTCTGAGAAAGATGATTAAATTGACTACAGGCTGTAGCTGTAACTATTCAAAACATTTAACTGAGTATATTCTAGCCAAGGGAGAATGGTAACACTGGGAAACTACATTTAACACCAAAACCTTGCCTCCCCAATGGAAATCTGTGCTCAGAGTCAGAATTCATACCCTCTCCTGGCATAGGCAGTCTTTGCGGCGCAACAAAAAAGAAAAACATTTGGATCTGACTTCTGATTTTGAAGTGACACTTGGACCTTGTGCTGGAGCTCTGCTTATGGTTGAATTTCACCCATCAAATCAAATGAGAGCTATATATAACTTTGAGAAAGTTATAATGGTCTGGTCTGCAGGGTGTTGAAATACTATCTCAAAAAGAGTGAGTGTCCCTAGATCTTTTCCAAGTAAATGACAACAAACAACCCCCAGTGTCAGGTAGGCTCCACTTCTCAACTCTGTTTTCAGGAGAGATCATTCAGGAAAGAATTACAGCTCCTGGGAGATTTTCTAAATTTAAAGGAAGTGTTTTGGCTAGTAATCCCTTTCCCAGTGAAATAGTTTCAAACAGCCAACATTAAAAGCAATATGCCTGTGACTTAATAAAATCACCGATACTGAGAACCATATAGGAAAGTTCTATGGCACCATGGGGAGTGGGGTGGCACGCATACAGCCAACAGCTTCAGTTTATCCAGAACACAGCCCTACAGGGCCAGCCATTTAGAAACATCCAACAAACGATATTTGTCATTGCAAACACGGACCTTCATAGCTACCTGATATTAATGAAGTGATAGGAAGAAAGTAGGCACAGGTAATACAATATTCCAGTAGAAGTGAAAAATGTTTTCCACATTATTACTGGATAACAGTAAGACATGGCTCAATACGTGGATCATCAATGTATCTGAAAAACCCAGTTAACCTCAGTTAGGCAAAGGCTCCCAGCTTCTCTCTTCTCTCTTGGAAATACTCAGAGTTACAATTGTACTGTATTCAGCTGATATCTGTTCTATACCTTTTAATTTAAACAAAGTCTCCTAACAAGAAAAAGGCCAGTCATCTAAATTTCTAGTGTCAAGCATAAAGGTGAGCAGCTCTCTCAGCTGCAGTAAAAGCTAACTTCTATGAGGCCATTCACACTTACAAGCATTACATTGGACAGTGCTTGTTCAGATCAGACCTTAGGACAAGAATGCGTGTTGCCCAGTGTATAACAAATGGAATGAAAGACAATGGACACTATAGTCCAGCGAACACACTAATTGTATTAATAAAATGAAAGCTTAAATTTTTAAGCTAATCCTGGGCTATCATTTATAAAAGTTAACAGGGCATATTTAATTTAGGAATTGGCTAACGCTTCTCTTTCCACCGCTGAAACCTCATAAATGAAATATACTGGATTGCTGCCCAGTGCGGAAATAAAAGTTATGAATAATGTTTCTATCTCAATCATTGTCAGTGCTTTAATATTCCTAATTACTTTAAAAAGCTAAATATTCAATATAGGAAAAACCTTCTTTTTCTTTTTATCTTCACTTGCAAGATTAGTGCAATTTAATAAGAGTCACTGGGTAGTTTTAGTCCACGAGACCATTCTGTACTTTGACATCTTATCCTTTCCTCTTCATTATTACAAAGAATGGAGTGCTTGTTACTCTGTGTATGCATGTGTGTATAAATGTATACATCTATATGTGTATGTCTACATTATCATAGTATTTTTGTTTCTCATTTTTTTAACTTCTCTAAGTGTATACTTGCAAGATTAGTGCAATTTAATAAGAGTCACTGGGTAGTTTTAGTCCACGAGACCATTCTGTACTTTGACATCTTATCTCCTCCTCTTCATTATTACAAAGAATGGAGTGCTTGTTACTCTGTGTATGCATGTGTGTATAATATACATCTATATGTGTATGTCTACATTATCATAGTATTTTTGTTTCTCATTTTTTTAACTTCTAAGTGTATACATTATCATAGTATTTTTGTTTCTCATTTTTTTAACTTCTCTAAGTGTATAAATACTCACTGGCTGTTAGGTTAAACATATCTATTACTAAAAATAACCAAAGGATAAAATTAGTTCCTGAGATTCTAGACAATATTTTACAATTGAAGGTACTATTTTTCTTTTTAAAAATATTGTTATAGATATGTATTCAGTATATTATGCTGCCCAATTTTTCCCTTGTCTACCTGTCAGGTAATCCCAAAAGGTTGCTTCAAACCCCAAAGCACGGCCTTTCTTTTTGTCCTTCCTGCTCTCTCCCTATTGCCTTTTCTGCTGTAACTGAGGAGACATCAGCAAAGCTGCAGACAAAACACCCATAACTTGACCAGAGAAGAGTCTGCTCCATTGACTTCAGCCTCTGGAGGTGTTTGTCCCCAGTCACATTTAACTCCTATTCTCTTCTAATACCTCCCTCTATAGATCCCTTTTCTGTTCTCTTTTTGCGTGGTAATGATGCCTCTTTTTTAAAATCTCAATCAGTCTGGGAGAAAGGGAGGAAGTAAAAGCAAAATGAAACGTTCATTCAGTAAATGACTCACAGCATCTTTCTCGATGCAGCTTTATTTACTTGCTTGATGCACAAATAGACTTCATTTAACAAGCTTATTTCCGTTATGTCAATAACGTATTGGGCCTGTATTACCTAATATCTCTGATGTTTGTACTGGAAAGAACGCTAGCTGTTTCATTCCAGCATGAACTAATCACATAGACTTAAACTTATCATTACCAATTAAGAGAGTTTGACATACATAGCTTCTCCAGCTGAAAGAATTGAAAGCCTCAAGCGTGAATTAACTTCCTAGTAAAAGGTGCAGAACTCCCACCTCCACCATTTCCCCAACTTCTGCAGTATGGATAATTTAGGGTGTGGATTTCAAGCCAGAAGGTAGAATCTGGGCTGCATGAAGAGTCAATGGCAGAAGTCCCACTGGCTTCAACAGAACAAGGATTCTGCCTAGAGAGTGTGCTTTCCAAAGTACTCCAAGTACTCCACAAAAGTATTTAATGAAGAATGTGTTGTAGTAAAGATTTAAGAGAGAAAAATTTTCATAATAGAGCTATATTATCTATATTGGTATCCCAATAACAGGACCAAAAGCATTAAGAGCATCCTCCACTGCATTTAACACTTCTTTGTAAAAACAAAGCAAAAAAGGTGAAAGTCATTATCACAGGAAAGGGTATTATCACATAGTAATTGTTGCAAAATAACCAACTGACAACCTTAATTTTTCCACTTAAAGCATCCAAGTTCTAAGGCCACTGCTTTATTTAAGGCCTTTTTTAATAGCAGCATATATCTTTATCACATTTTTGTAATCTTTACTCACCACTAGAGCAATCAGTACCTCCCCATCCTGGTTCACAATGACAAGTGTCAGGAGACACACATCTTCCATGCACGCACTCCTCTGTGCAGAGTGCTGTTAAGAAGAAACAATACACAGCATTGTAAACATATTAAGTGGTTGGTAAACATACAGTAAACTATGCCTTAGAGAGCAATATTTTGTTTAAAAATATTAAATGAAGCAAACACACCAAAAAGAATTACTTGCAAGATTTAATTAATACTAAGTGACCAAAATAAAATACAGGTCTCTTGGCAGCGATAAACTCATTTGTCACTTCAGCTTTTTGTAATGAAAAACTCTAACACCAGAAATTACTTTGGTTAGCAGTTTTGCTTCATAATAACATTTTTACCAAACTGACACTTATTATTATTGTATTACAGAATACCAGCTTCTTCTATTGCACTCAAGTTGCTACTGTCCATAAGATAAAATGGAGCTCAGTTTTGAAAGTATATTAAGATCCAAAATAGATTTGAAAAAATAGCTCAAGGAGAAGAAATAATTTTACTGCATGATGCAGTAGCTATAAGTGCAGCCTTGCTTTTTCAAGGTCATCAAGTTTTCCATAACTGCAGTGTTCTATATCTTATTTGTCCAGTGTTACATTATTGAAAGTTCAATATCCTCAAGGTTCAAACTCTGAAAAACCGGTTGGTTTTACTGTCTCACTTGCCAGTTGACTAGAGATATACATGGGAGAATCTCCTTTTCTTCTCCCTGGGTAGGAACAGCTCATGGTTTTAAGACTTCTCTTCTCCTGCGCTGCTTTGGTGTCAGACTTACTTTCCAGTGCATGCCGGTATGCCCATCACATACAGAAGAACTTGGACAATACTGAATAACTACTTTAAAGGCTGAACTTTACTGCTTACTACCTTATTTCCATTTTACCACTTAGGACATATTGCCAAAAACTCAGTGTGTCAGTGATTCAAATTTTATGGTTAAGTTGGAACATATAATTTCTATTTAGACTAACATGTATGAGTTATTAACAAATATGTTGTAGTGGCAATGAGATCACTATATTAAAATATATATACACATATATAACATATATCATATATATGATATATATCATATATAACCTATGTTTGTATATCCTGTGTTTTTATATCAGATGGGAAATGTGGGTGTCGTGCTTACTTAACCACGAACTGGCTGAAGCTGGACTACAAAAGACTTATTCCAAGACAAAGATTAATTCATTCCTGTCTAAAACAAGGCCAGCAAAGCTGATTTGGGAAGTAGCTTTGTGTTGCTGTACTGAAAACCAGGCTGAACTACCCAATTCATTTTAAATCAGCCAGTGAACCTTCTTAAAGTTGCACTGGGCGTGCGTATGAAACACCCTTTCAGTTCCCAGGTACCTCATGGGCCAAATGTTTTCCACCAACGTCTTTTACAGTTGAACGATTCCTGCTGCATTTGACATTGTTTGGACTACAGATTGGATCACATCTTGAATCTGCACTCAGGCTGGCATCAAAGTTGATGGAAACATTTTGCTGTCTATTCTGTGTTTGGGTCATTGCAGACCAAACCCACTAAGCTATTCACAATGTATTTAAATCCAACTTCAAATCACAAGTGAACTTTGAATAATCCCATGGGACAAATCTTCCTGCTCTTTATCCATCAAATCACATGTGACTAGTGATTAGAATGTTGCCTTATTATAACGACTGCAAGATCCTTCTAGATTAGTCATTTCCTTTTAGGTTCGCTGCTTGTCAAAAGTGCGATTTATTCTTATTTCATATCTTGTGTTTAGACAGTATTGCAGGGGGCATGAAATATTGATAGCTAATTCTCTAGTCACTAATTGTCCTAATCTTTTGTGCATTTATTTTACTTGAGTTAGGGTTTCTGAAGACAGCGAGTCATCTTAGTCTACAGCTGTAAGATGAAATTCAAGACAGGGTATTGGAAAAACAGGATTTTCCAATAAAGAAATACACACCTTCATGCAATCATTTAAAAATGGCTGGTTATCTATGACAAGAAATCCACATACAGCCCAGCCACAAATTTATATTTTGTTATTAAAAATACAGTGTAATAAAAAATATACAATATGGTGGGATAAGGATACTCTGAAAATTCTGCCCTGTATAGCTTTATTTAAGAATACAATTCTCATTGATGTAACTCTTACACATTAGTTTTGTAAGAGGTATGGAAACTGGAACTGAAGATTTTTCTGTTCCCTGTATGGACATTTACAATAATAAATAATTCTTACATGTAAAACATGCAACTTTTTTATGCTTTTAACTAGGCCAGGTTCTCGGGTCAAGGCATAATTTGTGAACAAGAAGATTGATGGTGAACTATTTCTTTGCTCTTCCAAATAACAAAACTCCTGCTCATTACTGGTCTAAATTTAGTTGATTTAGCCATACAAACATATCACACCTTAACTATGTTAACATAAATATGAAATAATAATGACTAATTAAGCTAATAAAGCTTACTTAATCACTTGTTTATGGACAGAAGTGCTGACTTCTGTAGTAGTGCTCCAGTACCTTGGGAAAAGTGCTATGTGAGACTTACAGGCAAGACTCAAATTCCTCATTCCAAAGCAATCAGTGATATGCAAAATACGAAAAAGTACTACAGAGAACTGCATCTCTGTTTTTAGATGTTTTGAAGTTCCACATAGCTGAAGATGGCAACGTTTCATGAGCAATTAAAGAGTTAAGTAAGGTAAAGACATTCCATGGAACTGTGGCTTGTCTCATCTCTGGTTTATTAACTTGCTAAACAAGCAGCTATAAGCTCACTAGCATATAGTCATTTAAAGCTGTGAAATTACGCAGGAGTAATCCCATATGTGGGGGTCACAGAAATCCCCCTTTTTTAAAAGGGGAAGCTTTGATATAAGCCATTTCATTGAAGGAGGCAAATAATCAGACTCCCGCACTGTCTGATTCGAATCAGGCCTATAAAGGTCCATATAAAGGTCATATTAGGTTACAACTCTAAAGTTTTACCATAGCAAATAAAATTCTGAATTTCCTCTATAAAAGGGAAGTCTTGCCTTGCTCTAATCTTTAAAGTTTAAATTAATTTTTCATTCTATTAACATTCAACATAATAGGATACAATGGTCCCCAAGGCATTCTTCATAATATACTTTGTACAGTGGTTTGCAAATGATCTTACTAGTTAATGGAACTATAAAAATTACTTGCACATAAAGGTCAAGAAAAATAAAGATAAGTATATACTTTCTGACACTGTCCTGTTCAACACTCAGCTAAAGGCCCCTGGAGTAAAGAAAACTTGTACTAATGCAAGGAATATAATTCCTCCCAGTATAATAGCCCAAGCAGTTCAACCTTTGGAATTCCAGACTTTTTATGTCTGCGTTTTCCCTTGACCAATTCTCTTGAACAATCCAGCACCTCATTGATCAGTTTATTATTAGCATTCTTGGCATGAGTTTAAGATCAGTTTGTAGTTTGATTCAGCCTGGTAATCAAATGACCTACATCAAAGCCCTGCCAAAATGCCATCTTTGTAGCAATGCATTTAGCATGAGTTATTTGGCCATATTCAAGGTCACACAGCAACTGCTCCTTATCATGGAATAAAGTCAACAAAAGGGTTCTGTAACAATTCATTTGATGCTTATCACTTACTTTATAATTACAAACAGTGCCTTTTTTTAACATATAAGGTCAATCCTCAGGGAAACAGACCCGAAGATTAAACTCTTTTCACACCTGAAATGACTGCATAGATTTCTCTAACACTAGCACTTATTTTTTAATTGTTGTCCTGAATTTGAATTTAGATATACTAAATGGGTTGTCTGTGTCTCCTATCCACAAAGGTGTGAAATAGCCAGGATATTGTTACTGAGGAGTACACTGCTAAGTGGAGCAGACTCTTCTGCCTGGAGAATGCTTTCATTGCAGAGTTACTCCAAGTGAGTGGCACCACAGATGGTTTATCCCAGACAAAAGCAGCCACAGTCCAGGGATCCAGAGCTACTCTGTCTTCCTTGGTGCTGCATTCCTCTGTATGGACCCAAACTATGACTTTGCAGGATTTAACCCTCCTGTACCACGCTGTTTTATACGCACTGTTATACCCTGCTCATCACTACATTATCAACCCATTGACTTCTTGTACTCCATTAAGCAACGTAAATAACACCTGCCACAACTACCTTCTTGGCCTCTTTCCTAGCAGTGAAAGTGCATTTACAGAAGAGTTTCATTCTAGGGGAAGAAGTATGGAGTGATTAACTTGTGAAAGTTTTGTTAGCTTCTCCAAACACATAACTTGTGCATTTATTTCACAAAAGGCAGAGTCAAAAAAAAATGTCTTGTGCTTGCGATGGAACATGGTAATATTTGCAGTGGTCCTTTGAACCTAGAGGAGTTCACAGCCACTGACCCAGCAAGTTCCATCTCCCTCCCACTTCAGCTGGTGGGACTTTATTGTGCCAGACAAGCAAAATATCTTCAAAACAAAGACCAGTATAATTACAAAGTCTAAAGGAACCCAGCGTAGAAAGCAGAAAATAGGCTTCATGAACTGCACTCATTCATAGCAGCGTCTGCTGCTGAAGAGACGTGCTGGAGTGTTCTGTACGAGCTAGTTTCCTGGGCTCTGCAGGCTTTCTGCCCTGGGATTGTAGCGCAGCCAGCAGGTGATGGAAAGCATAAATAACTGTAGATACATTATAATAATGGAAAACATTGCTAAATGAAGATACAGATGCTACTATATGAGAGCATAGACACAATGAGAAATTCAGACACTCTCCTAGAACTACACAGAATGAACTGGTCTATTCTGACTGCACATGTGGCAAAAGGACACTGCCCCATGACTGCAAGTTCTTTAAAATATTTTTCTTTTCTCTGCTCTACCATAGGCAGTCTCTGCCAGTTTTTCTTCACTATACACTGATCTCACCCAAACTCTGACCAATTTCATGTATTTGCTGTGAACGAAAAGTAGACCTGCATTTTTTCCATATGTTGCTGGCATTTTAGCTTCAGGTCATCTAACCAGTTTGCCCCATGCTACATAGTTGTTGGACT